AGAGGAGAGATGAATTTTTTAAAAATACCTAAAATGCCCTCTAATTATAATTTTAACTTAAAATACCATAATTACTAATTTCCTTATTTATCCGTTGATTTGTGGTTRAGATTRGWTCTCACAGTTACCACAAACTAATCAGTTCTCTCTTGAATGGGCCCCTATATATATATATATATATATATTATTTTTGTTGAGTTTGCACGTGATTATGTCTTGGACTTACGGTTAACACTGAGTCCCCGAGAAGACGACCCTACTTATCACTATCACAAGTTGTTGTGTGTTAGAGATAACGAGCTTATTTTATAAATTATATTATTTGCCTGACTCGACACCCGTTAATAATTATACAATTTGTTTGATTTAAGCTATGTTTTCCGGTTTTAAATGTTTTTAATATCTTTATTCAATAATTGTTTGATCTCACTAGGCTTCAAGCCTAACACCTTTCTTACTTGACATGTATATCAGGATCTCTTAGCAGTGGGGCTCCTAAGGCTTGAGTAGAGCGTTATGTGCCGATAGACCTTTTTTGGGATACTATCTTTTGGAAGTCAATTGTAGGGTTACTGATGACACTTATAGTTATTCTTTTGAGGATTGTAGTGACACACACTTATAATCTGGATCTAGAATTGATGTAGATTAGCAGGTTGTTGGTTACCGTCTAACTTGATGTAAACTCTCTTACTACTTCCCCTCTGTTTGGTGGTTACTTTCAGTTTAGTTTTATCCTATACATCTCCTACGAATTTAAATTTTCTTTTATTTTAGGGGTGTTACAAGGAACTACCAGCCCTTCTGCTTGACTTTTTACACCTCCTTAATTATGGTGGTTCCTCGATAGGAAGTTCGTCAATGGCAACCTTTGATACATGTGGAGATCTTAAGTAGGTATTTAAAGTTGTCATCCAGTGCTTTTTTGGGGGGGGGGTTGGAATAGTATCTAGAAAGATTGTTAGGATCGTCTTCTTCAAGAGGGATCATCTAGAAGGCGAGTCAGTTCCTCTTGGACCTGTTCAGGTTTGTCGATCGATCCTTCCTTCGAGCGAATGGGATTAGACACCCAGTAGTGTTGGTCATAAGCAATGGGTACTAGGGGTTGTGCGTATCCGCCCGTATAGTGGGAGAAAAGATAAAACTAAAATAAACCGGATTTTTAATCCAAACTTGTATTTAACCGAGGTAAAAAGAGGGGGAAGGCTAAAAAGATGAAATCACCCTCATGTGCAGGTTACGTGTTATGCCTTAATAGAGGCCTTGTTGACAGTGCTAGAATGGGGGATGAAAACCGGCCAAAAAGGCAAACTACAACAGCAAATCTGTACTAAATAAACTCCAGGGGACCAAAATCGAGATTTTTGACAAACCATAAGAACAAAAATTGAGGTTTACTCTAAAGAAAAATAAAATAAACTTGTAAAATGAACTACAAAAAGAAGTTGTCACACCATACTTTCAAAGGTTGTGATGGTAACTAATCAACAAGGTTCTAATGATCGAAACTCTTAATCAATTGAATTCATATTAAGAACTCTGAAAGTACTTAAAACACTGACTTCTGGTACAAATATGTGATGATAACAAATACAGATATAAAAGTTCAATAACATAAATGAACTACTTTTAACTGAAGGAAATCATATGAGGCCCTTGCTCTTGTTGGTTCATGTCTTCTCGTCAAGCCAAGCGCCCCACCCCTTGGGTTGACTATTCCTTGATCACATATTCACATGTGATGTAAACATTTCGTTTTCCTTTACTTAGATGTTGTTCTTGTTTGAACCTAGCCTTTTATTGTCTTGTGTTTTGTACACAAATATATTCATCAATGAATATAGAAATATAAACACAAATTTTAAACACAAGAACCTTATTTTATATGTATAACACAGTCTGTATATGCATCATAAAAAAATTATGTATAATGATAAGTTTTTATATGTATAATCAAAGTCTTTTTTGAAGTATATAATATTTATATACGACAAATGCAATAAATAAACTACACACCCTTCTCATCTTTTGTGAGGTTTGAACCCCTGACTTTCTAGGAGGCTAAGGACTACGATACTGCTAGGTCAAGGGCCCTTTGGTATATATAATCAAAGTTATTGTCATTATATGGGTCTATTTTTCATAATGAGGAGTATAAACACACATTTTTATTTAAACAGAATTTTGAAATCTCAAGGTCAATTTTTTTTTACAATATCAAAATTTTATAATGACACTACAATATATGCTCGTGGTTGTGTGGCTCCAATTCAGAATTGGGAGGAGATAAGGGTTTCAAGAACGTGTGTTTTCAGGGGGAGTTAAACGATGGAGGTTAGAAGGGTTTCGAGAATAGGGGTTTTTACTAAGGGGTGGGTTTTGCCGGAGAAATAATATAGCAGGATGACCATTTTGAGCTAGAAAACACGAAAAATAGACTACCAATGTATTTTACGAATTGTAGGGACGAAAACCAAAAAACAACTATAGATGAGGGACCAAAAATGTAATTCACTCAAAATTTAGGCATAAAAAGACAAAAATGCCCCTCTACATGACTGACTTTACGGGTCCCTTTTAACGGTGTTAATGGTGGGACCAATTTGATCGAAACACGAAATTTGAATCACCGGTGTATTTTACAAATTGTTGGACGAAAACCAAAAAACAGTTATAAACGAGTTACCAAAAATATTATTCATTCAATTTTTTATAATTATTTTTCCAAAATTCAGTGATTTTTTATAATAATCCTAAAAGTTGGAGGTTTTTATAATTATTTCTAAAAATTGAAAGATTTTGAAAATTAGATGTCTTTATAATTATTTCCCAAATTAAAATGACTTGTAATGGTTTTCAAAATTGGATGATTTTAGGGGTGTTTGGGATTGTTTATTTGAAACAACTTATTTTTTTCTATAAAAGTTTTTATCAACTTATTATAAGTTAGAATGATTTAATTTATTCAAAAACTTATTATTACCGGTTTAACATCGGTATAAGCTGTTTATCCAAACACAAAAAAGTGTTTAACGATTTGTGTAGTGAACGACTAATTTAAAAATCGAATCAAGCCCAATATATCTCATTTAAAAATTATGATGATAGAATATATATACAAACTGATCTTTTATCCTAAACGATACAAAGATGGTTTTCGTGAAAAATGACCACATTGTAAATGAAATAAGAATCCGTTCTTATTCATTTTAATTTGTACTAGTGTTAATCATTTGTGGGATTCGTTTGGGCTAACCTATATTTTTGTCTAACGAGTCTAATATAATAAACATAAACCCTTTTATTTACGAACTTGATAATTCCCCATTATCCGTTATGTGTTATACTTGTTCATGGGCTAACAGACCTTAATATTTTCTTTTTGTATTTTTATGAAAATAAAAATTGAAAATCAAAATTTATGTAAAATAATTGTATAACAATCTTTTCATCTTAAAATATGAAGTATTTAAGAGGGAATTAAGGTTTTAGTTTTCAAAAAGTCGATATATTATGTGACAATGAAGGGGGATTTGGAAATTGGAAATATATATATATATATATATATATATATATATATATATATATATATATATATATATATATAGGGGTGAGTTCAAATAAAAACCACTTAATTTGTAAAAACCGTAAAAACCTCATTCAACCAATCATGATTTTTCATTTTGTTCTTTTTTTTATAATTATGAAATGTTGATTAACCATTTTTATTGTGGAAGGTGTTAATCATGGATATTATCATCTTCATTATTTTAATTTTAGAGAAATACATGAAACAGTTTCATTAAAATTTCATTAAGTAGTATATGAAACAATTTCATAACCACATATGAAACAACTTCATAAAAAAAAGTATTATATGAAACAATTTCACAAGATTAACAATTTCATGAAAAAATTTCATAAGATTAACGACGGATGAAAGTAGTTTTTACGGTTTTACAAATTGGAGTGGTTTTCATTTGATCGCTCCTCTATATATATATATATATATATATATATATATATATATATATATATATAAATCAATTTTCAAAATGAATTCGATCGAGTTAGAGGATTGATAAATCGATAGTATGATTAGAAATTTGAAAAGAGCACGACCGATTAGAATTTTTAGAAATTTCAAAAGATAATTAGATAAATAAATATGTTATATATAGTATTTAAAATATAGGCGAAAGATTATGCGAGAAGAAAAATTATAGTGAGAAACATAAATTGAGATCTGAACTCTTGATCACTTTTAATCTCATTCCCACACATGAATTGCGTTCTAAAAGGGAATTGATCCGGTACATTTTGATGCACCTCAATGGTTTTGACATTGAATTAGGTTTGATCCGAGGGTGAAAATATTTTTTCGTGCTTCTCGCTATAACTTCCTTTTCTCACCGGAATCCAACCCTTAAAATATCTATGTATATATATTTCAGATTTTTAGACGAATCGGATGACCAAAAACCAAATCAAACCCAACCCAAACTCAAATTTTCTTCGAAAAGTCGGTTTTCGGACTTTGAGGCATTCGGATTTTGCATAAATACCTAATTTTCGGTTCAGATTCGGATTTCAGATCATTCAAGTTTTGCACACTCCTAGAAGCATTCAAGAGTTTTCAAAATGAGCTCGCTTTTCTAGTGGACCGAGCTGCTGAGATCTAAATAAGCTGTTCAGCCTGTAAACAACTCTAATTTGTACACATTGTGTAGTGTTATGGGCTCGGGCTCGGGCTTGGGTCGGGCTCGGCTCTATTTGCATTAATATAAATAAACCCAATAAGAGGCCCAATATATAAACATCAGTTAAACCCCTTATTCAACCCGCCAATCTCATTCTCTCTGCCGTTTCTGTCACCACCTTCCACCATGGCTGCTTCCGAGGAGTATACAGACACCATGAACTTAAAGGTCGCAGAGCTAATGAAGGAAGTCCAGCTCGATTACTCCTCTGCAACTGCTAAAACCATTGATGATGCTGTATCATCTATCAAAGAATGCGTCAATAAAATTCCTGAAGATATAAAGGTCCTTAAACCCTAAACCCTACACCCCAAGTTAGTGATAATTCGAAATTAATTTTTCGTTCGTGTGAATTTGGTAGGTTACGGCGGATTTGGCACCGAAATTTATTAGAGATATCGGTGCAGACAAAGTTGAGTTCAAGTTCAAACGACCTAAGTCGATTCAAATTGGTGGAAGTTATTCGTTTCAATGTGCCGTGAAACCTGATGTAAATGTTGATCTTTACGTTCGGTTGCCGAAGGTAGTTTTATCTATTAGTGCTAATACTAATTAATGCGATGTTTATTTATCTAGTACAGTACTTGAGAGCATAATAAGTATGAACATGTAAATTAAATTGTTTTGTTTCTTTGTTTTATTGGTTTCAAAATTCAAAGGGGGTGAGGTTGCTGTTGAAATGACATAAGTTTGAGTTGAAGAGAGATAGGGAAAGATCATTCGATGCGGTATGTAAACCGAGATACATACAAAGGTTTACCCACTATTCACAGGGAATGATCAATAGAGATTGTAGAATTAGGGAACTGGAATAACTGTCATTAAAATAACTAATGCAAGTATGCAACTCCTAACTAGTTGCTTCTAATGCGGCGTTCAGATAGGAAATACTAAACGGTTTTAGGGTTTTAGTGGAGGTACCAAATGGTATGCAACATTGTGAGATCGGTCTTTTTGAAAATTTGCATGTTTTTCAATCACAATTACAGTAAGCGTCGAGTTGTGGAGAAGACATAAGATACACATATGCTTTGACTTGGTGCAGATTTTCAATGCCTTAGAATTCTAATCAAGGCATGGACATGAGGAACAGTAGGTTCCTTGAGAAATTGGGTTAGTAAATGTGCAACAAGTGTAATGTATGGTCTCATGATGGCTAAACAGCTCTCCAGCCATTTTGCAATGAAAGTACAATTGGAAGTGCCAAGGGTTTAACATCCAACAGCTTTGCCTCTTTCAGCATGTCTAATAGATACTTATCTGATTAAGAAGAAAGCCACATGATTTCCGGAAACGTTAATTCTCAGATTGTGAGACCAGTTTCATGCTTTCAATGCTAAGCCCCTTTCAAGGATTTGTTTGTAATTTGATCAATGTAGCCAGCTATATTATTCCTGTGATTAGAATATCATCTACATAGAAGAGTGCTGCTGTAATGTCTTCTCAATGACTAGAGGCAAATAAAGCGTAGTCTGCCAAATTTTGCCCACTTTCAAGCATACAATCGCATGCATATTTTTGAAAAGTTGGCAATTAAGTTACAGAAACAGTTCAAATAGCTACAACTTCATATGTTCTTACCGACTGGATATACTTTAAAGTTGCTGCTGTTGGAAATTACATCTGACTCTACATTTTAGGTAACCTACTGTATTTGGGTTTTGCAGGAGTGCTTCCATGAGAAAGACTTTTTGAATCATCGATACCATGGCAAAAGATGCCTGTATCTCTGCATAATCAAGAAGTATTTGGAGTCTTCTTCTGTAGCAAAAAAAGTAGAATGGTCCTTCTTTCAGAACGAGGCCAGGAAACCTATTCTTGTTGTATATCCTGGTCAGTAACTTGATTTTATATTTTCCTTTTGTTTTGTAGCTTCTCAGTCATTTCAACACGGTTTATTGCCGGCAACCATATGTATATTTTATTGAAAGGTTTTCTACATATTGTAGTTGTGAAGTCTGCTGGGCTTCCAGGGTTTGCTATTAGGTTGATTCCAACAGCAGATTCCCTTTTCAATGTCCAAAAGTTGAATATGGAGCGCAACAATCTTCATGTTTTGAGTCAAGGTATCACTTTTTATTATTTGAATACATCTTATTAATAGTTTAGACTTCCCACCAACTATCTTGCTATAAAAGACTTGTACATTTGTTTATTTTTTGCTTTTGCGATTGTTTCACTTTATGAACTTATGTGCTCTTAAGGTGTTTCTCAAGCTACCCCTGTGTACAACAACAGTTTGTTAGAGGACATGTATATGGAGAATGGTGCAGAATTTGTCAGAAAGGCTTTTAGTGGATGGAAGGCCTTGGGAGAGGCTTTAATTTTGCTGAAAGTATGATAACCTTCCACTGGAATCTTAACTGTTCAAGCACTGTACTCATCATTTTGTGAAAGAAATTAAGCTTTGTTTTGATGATTCAGGTGTGGGCTCGACAGAGAAGTTCTCTACACACTTGTGACTCCTTAAATGGGTACCTTATCTCAATCATAATGGCATACCTTGCCTCTGAATCTGGTAAAGCTCGCATTAACACAACAATGACGGCAATGCAGATTTTTCGTCTTACTTTGGACTTTATGGGTATGTGTATCTTTTTTCCTGAAATTTTGTTACTTTTTTGGATCTCATGTGCTAGCCACTTGTTATGCTTGTGAATTTCTATCTACAATATCATACCTTCTCTTTTGCTGTGAAACCTGTTACATTGTTTAGGCGATCTGTTTCCAGTTTTGAAGTGCAATAGTTAATATGCTCTAGTGACTTGTCCTCATTGTATATGAGTATATCCGACACCAAAGTTAGAGGTCAAGATTCTTGATTAGTTGAAAACATGGTATCTAAATTATGTTGAAATTGCCGTCTATGCCAGTCTATCAGTCTGGTATGTTGTCTGTGGTTATGTCCAACAGTCCAAGACTCCAAGGTCAGTCAAACGCTCAGGGCAGGTTAGCTGTCCACACTTTCTTCTGTTTCAGGATCTTTAAGTGGACTATTGTAGGTAGGATGATGAGAAGATAGGCATTTAGTAATGAAGGAAAAACCACAAATTTGTGTTCATGTGTGTGGTGTGGTGTCTTTGGAACCTTGTGTTTGATGAATCTTGTAAACATGACAGATTTACATGGACTTCCTTTTCAGGGTACATTGGAACATCCATGTGCAACACCATGTGTAACCCCAATCTTTTTACTTTGAATTATGTCAAGACCTTCTCGTTCATCTTCCATTTCATGGAAAAACCTTCATTCAATTCTGACTTTTATCTATGTTTTGAGATTCTCTTCTTCCTGTTCGCAGAGATGACCAATTATGTTGTTTTACCTTGTATATAAAACTCAAAATAAATTTGGTTGAACTTGGGCTTGTAATTCATAATCTAGTGCTTGCAGTACCTTTTTTATTGGAGTTAAATAGGCTGGAATAATGAGGCTCTATATTAGTTTAAATCCAGATGGCATGCGTTCATTGCAATTTAAATTATGCAGTATGCCCACTATTTGACATGCATATTTTTATGTTAGTTTAAATGGTTCATGTTAATTGTTTAAGTTTTGTAGTTTCTGTAACCAATGGGACTTGTTTCCAGAAGCTGATATGTTGTGATGACTGTAAAAGTTACATTGCTAAAAGTTCTGTTATGGAGTTTTGCAGCCACCTCTAAGCTATGGGGAAGTGGGATATTTTTCAAGCCTCAAGGAGGAAGCGATATGTCTAAGGAGGTATGGTTTTGACCGTTCTCTCATGTTCTTGAGATTCTTTTTAGCATACATTCTGTATGATTTTTGTTGAGGTTTTTTACTTATATATATGATAAAATTTGCTGAAGGAAATTTAGAATTGGATGTTCAAGAGGAAGCAGTATATGATAAAATCAGAAGTTACAAATTTCACTTAATATTTGAGTTGGGAGAGTAGACTTGCAACAAATAACTTCACTCTATATCAGCTTGAAATTACAAGTTTTCCTCGAGTATATGTGGTGGGGATCCCAATTCAATGCACTCATGGGCTTGCTTTTTTTATTCGTCGTAGAATTTTATGTTTGCTTTCCAACTTTTAATAGTTTTCTCACATGAGTGCTTGTACTGATTGTCTTTCATGTTGCAGGAAAGGAAGAGATATGTACAGTATTTTCCGGCAGTTATATGTGATTTATCAGCTCATTTCAATGTAGCATACCGCATGACAAAGAGTGGTTTGATTGAGGTAGCTCTGGCTTATCGTACATACTAATCTTCATTTGATATGCTCTAAAGACAAAAAAGATATTCCCATAATGTTTTCCGCGACTAGTTCTGGGTTCGAATCCCGGGCAACTTATTGTCATATTTAAATTATATTATATGTATAGTGTATAGAAATCCTATTTTATTTTTGCAAAATTTTAAATTTCAGCTTCAAGACGAGGCTGCTTTGGCACTCAGGTGTATTGATAAATGTAAAGAGGGGGGGTTTGTTGAGCTATTTATGACCAAGATTGATTTTCCTGCTAAGTTTGACTATTGCATGAGGTAATTCAGCATCACTTGTGTAGTCTACTTTTTTGTACCGACAAATGTAGTTGTTCATAAGAATAGGTACTTGTAGGGCTATGATTGAACACTACTTGTATTTTTAAGCATCTTGTTTTTTCAGTAATTGTTTCTGTGAGGGCTTTAGGATATGTCATGTCAACATATTATTCAAGTTTGAATTGTTGAGTATAGAATTTATCTTTTATACATCTTCTTTCCAGGTTGAACTTGAAGAGGAAGGCTGAAGTTTCTGCACAAGGGTTATGTTTGGATAATGAGTGTTGGAGACTGTATGAAAAGAAGGTGCATTCTTTGCTTCAGGAAGGCTTAGGAGACAGAGCAAAGTTTGTACGTGTAACCTGGGGGAACGCAACATCCACATGCGATATCAATCATGTATGTGATTTCATGCAGGGGAATATACTGATACTGACATCATACTGGCTTATAGGCATTCAAACTACTGACTACTCTACAATTTTAGGGTCTGACAGTGCTCGACAAAGAGCCACTAATGGTTGGAGTTTCTGTCAACTTGCCAGAAGCCTTTGACGAGTATACGAGGGGTCCCTTTTTTGGGAATAAAGAAGAGGTACTTGTATGCTTATCTTTATTATATTATAAAACATTTGGCAAAAACTCTTGAAAACAACTTACTAAGCATCGGTACCGTTTACTAATGCAAATATCTTAAATTTCAAGGTTACAAGTTATTTTGTTGATTTTAATATCTTTACTGTATTATCATTTCCTTCATTCTTTAAAATCTTTTAAAGTTCAAGTTTACAACTTATTACTACATATGTGCAACTTTTTGAATCTTTATGTTTGAAGTTCACAAAACTAACTAATAACCAACTGATAAACATGTTCAAATATAGGATGAGCATTGAGATCTATTAATATTGCATAATACTCCATAAAATTGAGACCCAACCAAAAACTCTCTTGCTCTTTCTAAACCACATAAAACCATAAAATAAAATCGAGAGGGACAAAGAATAGAACGAAGAATGAATCAAGATTTCACGTTTTTTTTTTTTTTGGTAAGGGTGTCTGGGCCAAAGCCCGACTAATCCCCGGCAAATTTAGAGGCTAAACATGGCCCCACTTAAATGTCGCCAACACTCCCCTCCCAGGTCTCGAACTCGGGTTCATGACTATGCCATGCCCAAGCCTTTACCACTAGGCTGGAAGGTCTTTGACTTTCACGTTCTTTGATTCTGAATCAAGATGTATTGTGCTGTATTTCACGGGTACACTTCTAGTCTTATGAATGTGTGTCTATTAATACACACACTAATTGTAGTAACCTTCTCCTACAGGGTCTGAAGTTCCGAAAGTTTTGGGGAAACAAGGCAGAGTTGTACCAATTTAAAAGTGGTACCAGGGAATGTGTTTGTAAGTAATGTCCTTGCAATTGCTCTCTCTTTTTAAGCTTGCTTGTCTTCTGTAATTGATTTTTCATTTCATTTCTTTGATAGTTTGGGAATGCAAGCCTGCAAAGAGATATCTTATTATAAAATGGGTCACTGAGTATGTGCTTAAGCGGCATCTATCATTGGCAGAGGAAACTATCATGCATGCTGTTGATCAACTTGATTTTTCATTGGTTCATGATGGTGGAGGTAATGTCGATGGCTGCTAACTTTAAGTCACTTGTGTCATTTTGTCCTTTTAAAGATGTATATTACGTACTTGCAATTTCTGTAAGATTTAGGAGTCACACACTTCGAAATTCATCATGTGATACAGATCTGGCTTCTGATGGAAGTTTGCTCGAAAGTTTTGGTACTCTGTCTAAGCGTTTACGTCTTCTCAGTGACGTTCCTTTGGGAGTCTCCAGTGTACAGCCTCTGGACTCAGGTTTACTCTCAGCTACCCTCTATTGACAAGTTCGTTTGTTTGTAGTTGATTGTCATCTTATAGAGATACCAAATATCGAAACCACTTGCATACAATTGATTAATCATTTAGGTATATCAGTGTGACCAAATTTTTCTTGGTAGTGCTGCTTATAGTAGAATTGTAATTCTAGTTGTGGCTTATAAAAGATGACATCCTGAATGTTTATTAATGTTGGATTTGTTGGATCTATGTTTTATCTTGTTGCTTAAGCATGGCATACTTTTTAGCAGAAGTCGTCAGGTCACTTTCTATTTCTTATGTACCATTCTTATGGATATCTACAGCTTTCCGACACACATCTGTCTTTCCTCCAAGACCTCATCCCTGTGCTAATGGAACTAAAGTTGGAAATAGAATCAGACCAACCTGTATACAGCCGCTGGAAATTATGATTCAGGCATGCTAGCTGCTGACTTTCTTGAAATTACCGATTGTTACTACTTGCAGCATTTTATGAACCTGATTCTTCTGTATAATGTAGTTGGAAGGTTCGGGGAACTGGCCGATGGATGATCTAGCAATTGAGAAAACTAAATCTGCTTTTCTGCTAAGAATTGGAGAATGGTGAGCTGATAATATTGTGTTCTTTAGTATGATGTGGACGGTGTTTCTAATCGTGTTGTAATAATAGCCTTCAGAAGGATTACGGGATGAAATATTGTCCGTCAGAGGAAGGTGTGGATGTTTTCTTGAACGGATATGTGTTCCGCTTGAAAATTTTGCATGAGAGAGGCCTCGACTTGTTAAATGGACAACGTAAGAAAAAGCTTTTTAATACGTTTGGAAACCAATGAACAACTTGCTAGTAACATAGATATGTTCCAGTACTGAATGATTTTATTTCCTTCTATTGCAGCTGATAGTTACCAAGTAAAAAGGGTTTCCCCTACAGACAAACATCTTTTTCTGAGAAGTCAGCATTCTAGCATGATTAATGGCCTTTCCGGTCGCTATCCATTATATGGCCCAGTTGTTCAGTGAGCATCTATCGTTAAACTTTCAATGTTGGTTATATGGGGTTTATTTCATGTTGCTTCATATTTAAATCTACTAGTTTCTTCATTATTTCATCCCCCCAAAGATAAACAGGTATGGAAGCTATAATTGTAAACCACAATCGAGTCTATAGACATCCCCCCTCTATAGACAAAGAATGAAGAGGCAAGAATCTAACCTTTACCTTTCTTGTTTCCCTTGAAGATTGGCAAAACGATGGGTTGCTGCACATCTCTTCTCAGCTTCTTTCACGGAGGAGGCAATTGAGCTTGTGGTTGCATCTCTTTTTCATAACCCCTTGCCATTTTCTGCTCCTTGTTCACGAATTGCCGGTTTTACAAGGTTCTACCTCTTCTGTTAATTAAGGATTTTCATCTATATCTCTTGTTTTCGCTTTCAACTGTAATGTGATGATATAGGTGCATGATATGTGCATACCTGTATTCTGGAGTTCTAATAATTGAAGGATGCAAGATGCTTATATGAATATATAATTATATATTAGTCTAAAACCAAGACAATAAAATAAATACATTTGTTGTAGTTCATACTTCGTATGGTAAATATTTGAAAAACAAGTTGGAACTCTGATTTGAGGATGAAGGTACTATATAAAAGGAAAAAGCTAATGCACAACAATGCGATCAACAGGAGTAACTTAAGACATATACAAAATATAAATTAAGATAATATTTGTTTTGAGGATTAAAGGATTTGTTTTGTTGCGTTGCCTCCTTTCTCTCTAGCTTACATAAGATGTAACTTCTACTTCTAATGTTTAGATCTAATTTGTGGTTTTCTAATTTGTAAATCTTCTCGGAAGCACCCTCTCTACCTCTTGAGACGGTAAATATCTGCAAACATCTTACCCTCTAAACCCTATTTTCGGGTGCGATATATTGGGTATGTTTGGTTCTAATTGCTGAATTTTCATCTCTCTATTTTTTTGAAGAAAAAGACAAAAGTTGCTCCTCTTGTATCCTTCACCCGAATCCCTTAAATTTCTGGTCAAGAATTGGGATTCTTTCATATTTTTTCTTTTTTGCAAAATATATTTTGGGCTGCTTCTAAAACGGTTCAAGGGATTATTTTATGACATTCATCTTTGACAAAAAGTTGGTTAGCTCTACAAACAAATGTTTACTCTTTAAGGAGAAGAAAACTAGCATCTTTTCCTCCAATTGTTGCTATCTTACCCCGATTTGGTAAACAGGTTTTTGAGACTACTATCGGAGCATGACTGGACATTTACTCCTTTGATTGTTGATATAAACGAGGATATGACGCCAGATGATGAAAAGGAAATTGATGTAAGCAATACAACTTTTCTTGTTTCTTGACTAATTCTGGCAGAACTAATTACTAGACAACAATTTTCTAATTTACAGGAAAAATTTACTTTGAGTAGAAAAGCTTATGAAGAAGGGACAGGAGGTGTAACGTCTGCCATGTACTTAGCCACTGCTTATGATAAGGCATCTGAAGCCTGGACTAGCACGTCTCCAAGCGTATCAGTGAGTAATTCTGTTGACGAATGTGGTTGTGTGTGATCTATTGTTATTTATGAAGAATCAGCTTTGCCTTTATGGGCATTTAACCATTCAAAATCAAACTCAATTTTCTTGGTAAATGGATACACTTCGTTGGTCCGCTTATACACGTAACTCTCATCTTCTTTCCATTAATTTAGTATTTGCATATACTAAAATATAGACCAAACGAACCCACATATCCATCATAGACATACGGTCAGGGAGGGGGGTATACACAGACCTTGCCTCTATCCCAAAGGGAATAACAACTGTTCCAGTGAAGCCTCCCGACTTGCAAAACAAAAAATACATGGACTAATTTGAGAAGTAAGTTGTTTGCAATTATTCTATGTTGGTTTTTAAATCATCTACATTTATACATGTCAGTCTAATTAAATGTCAGAAATATAAAATTACAAAGTGGGAAGTAGGTTATTACGATCATTCTATGTTGGTTTTTGAGTTGTCTGCATTTAGACATGTCTGTCTAGTTAAATGTCGGAGGCGGTGGGTGTGGTAGCAGGTAGGTTGGGAGACAACTAGGTATCGAAGTCCTAGGATAGGAAGGGAGCCCTTGTGGTGGTGAGTAGCTTTTGTACCGGGGGGGGGGGGWTTGAAAGGGTCTTTTAATGCACTTGTTAGGTTTTTAGTTGTTTTGTACTTCCTCTCTTATTTTTGAATGCTCCTACTTGTTTTAATCTTTTTTCATGTTGTTTACTGTGCACACTTGCTCTACTTTTCCATGCCTTTCTTCTTTTCCCAAGTTTGTCTCAAGCTTTTCATCAACTCTTCAAACTTCTCACTAGGGACACTCCCAAAAAACTCTTCACAAAAACTTCTTATGGAACTTTTTTGCAAGCACGGGTTTTCACGGAAGCAACTCTCTACACCTTGGGGTAGAGAAAAGGCTGCATACACCTTACCCTCCCTTGTGGGATATATTGGCTTGGTTGAGTTGGTTTAGTTTGTCTAATTAAATATCTTTAGAGCATCCCACCCACATTAAGAGGCTTTTACTATCTCTAAAGCCAGTAATCGCATTCTACACAATCTTCATGGAAGTTCTTTCCTAATAGACGAACCACAGGCCTTTAGTGTAGCAGTATCCGAGTTACCTGTAGAGCCCAGCCTTCTAGGAAGTTAGGGGTTCAAACCTCACCAAAAGTGAGGAGGGTGTGTGAGTTCATTTGCTATATATAAATATTATATACTTCATAAAGTCCTAATAAACGGGTTTGTTTACCCATGCAAACATTGGACCGTCTTATTATTAGGAATACCAACCACAGGATTATTGTTGAAGGAATTTGTTTATTTTGCAACATGCTTACATATATAGGTTTCATTCTAGTTTTGAGAATAAAACCCAACAAAAAAAAACTGTCCCACCGTAAATCCCACTCAACGGTCGGGGTTTTCTTTGGGGGAAGGGTGGAGACGCATACAGACCTGACCTCTACTTTAAAGAGTACAACGGCTGTTTTCGTGAAGAAGTACCCTATGCAAAGGGTGTGACCCCACCCTCCGTCATGGGGGGAATAAATCGTTTGTCCAAGGAGCAGGTGGGTGCTCTCAGAGTCGAACCTTTGACCTCCCACTCATTCTGCAAGGATGTCCACCTTCTTTTCGGCTAGACTAAGGTGGGTGCTCGTTTTAAGTACCCTTCTAATCAGTTATCTGCATTTTTAACTTTCATGTGATAGGAGGTCAAAAGGTTGGCAGTCTATGCTAGAAGCAGTTCAAACTTGCTGACTAAACTCATTATGCAAGGTCAGCTAGATTCTTATGGATGGGAGGTGAGTTTGACTGATTTACTTATTCTTTTGAATTATTTACCACGACTTATTGATTTTGTTATTCATTGACAATCATACTATGATTTGTAGTGCATTTTTCGAACCCCATTGAACAACTATGATGCTGTCATTCTTCTTCATAGAGACAAACTCTCTTACCCTCAACGTCTTCTCTTCCCATCTGAACTCAATCATGGTATAATAACTCTCTCCCCATGTACCCACCCGTAAAGGTCTTATTAAGATTATATGTACATATAGTGGAAGGTTCATGTGTGAACCACAGATGTTTTGGGAACAGGGTGAACTACTTTTGTAGCATATATTCATCGATAAATGTACACTATAAATTTATCAAAATGTGTATACTATCAATGAGTATGTTCATTAATAAGTATATACTATATATTCATTGATGAATATATTAACTTGTATTCCTATAATGTCAATGAGCATATTCAACAATGAATATACACTAAAAAATTAGTTCCCTGGTTCTTAAAATATATGTGGTTTTCATTTGAACCGGAGTCTATAAATATATATACATATACATATATATATAAATTTGAAGAATATGTTTATATATGGCAAAACTCACACACTCCTCACTTGGTGAGCTTGAACCTTGACCTCCAGGGAGGTCGGGCTCTACCGGTAACCCAGATACTGTTGGGCCAATGACTCTTTGGTTTTATCAAGAATTTAAGTCTCGTGAAATATGCAACACAAGGAGTTCTTACCAGACGCATGTACTGCACAGGGAAGCTTGTGGCACAGGGAAATGCAAGCAAGATTTTTCATCCTTTTTTGTTGCCTAATGGTGTCACTGGTACCAGAAAGGATCTTGAAGATCAGTTATATATCAACTTCGATCCATTGATGTGCTATGTTAAACGTTTGGAGGTAAATAGACAGATTTCCGGCATCATCTTCTTTAGTTCATGCTAATAACTAATCATTTCACCATTGCCGTTGCAGAATGCTTATCCCAACAGGTTCAAGTTGTGGTATGATTCTTTAGGAGGTGATGCAATTGGACTTACATGGGAAAAAGAGAACTTGAAGGTATTGAATCTTTTACCCAACAACAGGCTTACTCATTTTGTTGGGCTTATTGAAATAATTCCGTTTTGTTTGACATAAGCTAGCTTTTTGAAACATTTCGATAAGCTCCGGGAGCTTTTTCTACTTTTTCCGGATTATGCCCCTTATATTTTTCCAATTAAAATTTTAACATGCCATTTTGGGTTATTTTACATTGTCATCAAGCTTATCAGTTAGTTTTTACAAAACATGACTACTTTGTGCGCTAGCTAGCTAGCTTATCAGCCAGATTGTCAGATATAGCCTTAAAAGTCTGTAGGCCTTGCATACACAACAATACATTCTATCAAGGAGTAAATATTACGTATGCATGGGTTACACTTGGAAAGCAGGGTCTCTGAACCGAGGCTTATAAATTGTCGCTTTTTAGAAACAGTTTTGCAGCATCAAGTCTCGTGAATTTGTGGATTAATTATGATTGTTTTTATAGAAAAGGAGACGAGAAGATGTAAAGAAAAACGTGAAGATTACTTTGAGAGATGTGGGTGAAGTTGGAAAAGGATTTGTGAAGAGCATTTATTTGCTGAAGGCGCCAAGGCTTGCAGATTAAGAGAATACTACCCATTCAATGTTGTACCATTTCTACTGCCTACGCTACCCCAGTTTTGAAGTGTTGAAGGGGAAAAGCTTAAGACTTTTATTTATTGATCTGTAAATTTTTTTTGTATTCCAGGTTTTGAGGCGGTTTTTAGGAAATTTTACGTCTAGGAACACGACAATTATAAGTAATGTTGAAATTATGTTTGTTCGGTTTCATGCCAAGTTTTAGGGGTCTTTTTCACTAACACAAGTAAAATTGCCAGATAAAAAAATCATCCTCATTTACCTTGTAAGATTCTCAGGGTTGTTTGTTTATAGCTTAATAGTTCCATTAAGAGGTAATCTTTGAATCGTTAAGAGGTGAATCTTGTTTGACAAAAAAAAGTATGTCTCTTAATGGTTCTAAAATAATCTGAATGATTTTGTATCATGGATCTCCCTTAACCATTAAGAGCTCTAATTTCATTGTACACAATTACTGAACAATTATATTTCATTTTGCATTATATCATGAGGGCCACTTAATCATTCTGACCACTTAATTATTCTTGTTTTAAACTAGTATAAATGCCACTTACCTAGTACGCGTTAAATGGCTAAGAGTCAGATAATCTTTTCTTATTGGGTAAGCGTTTCTTACCTAATATAAGTGAATAAGTGTTTAGTTATCTGGTAAAGACGGTAAGTGTTTTATAAATACCCCATGATGTATCAATGCCAAATTCCATATTTTTGCTTAGCATCGAGAAGATGTAAAGCTAAATAGCTTGTGTTAATTGTTATACAAATAAAATAACATTTACACTTGTACAACATAAATATATAAATCATGATTTAGGATCAAATGAGAATAACAGTTATGGTGAGAATGATAAGTGTACTTTTTAATTTTTGGATGAGTCACTTTTTTTATCTAACTTTGTTTGCCTTCAATTATATTCATCTAGCTTTTTCTTCACATTTATTTTCATTTTCATTCACTTTCACGAACTTTTACACATATTTAATCTAATACTATATTATAAAGCATGACAAAAACTCTTAAAAACCAATTTTTATGCATGAAGTACTGTTTATTGGTGCATATTACTTAGAATTCAAGATTACAAGTGATTTTGCATAAGTACAACTTATTAAAACTTTATTTTAAAATTCGTATAACTAACTATAGATAAACATAATCAAATACATGATAAATATATATTTTAAATATAGAAAATCTAAAAATATAATTAAGATAATTATTGATTTTATAACAAAATGTTTAATTATTATCTTTTATAAAAATTATATTATTAAACCAAAAATAAATTACTTTGTTATTAGACCATAATTAAATTATAATAAAAAAATTGAATTAAATTGTTAATTTAATACTAATATCGGTTTTATTTATTTATTTTTTATGCTATTTTCAAATTTATATTTCATTCAAAAATAAAAACATTATCGCTTTCTCAAAACCACATAAAATCGTATTATATTAATAGAGACAAAAAATAAAAACTAAATCTTAAAACGCAGATTTATCTCGCTGCAATGCACGGGTACTCTTCTAGTCATTTCATATACATGAATGTCAAAATTTCGATCATGATGATAAAAAATGATAAATAAAGATAGTTAAAAGTAGACAAATGTATACTAAGGTTCTTTATACATGTTCTTACCTAACTTTTATCCTCCAGAAGTTTAATTGCATTCAAATATTTATTGTGTGATATATCTCTTGAAACATAATATCCAAACTTTTATTACAAAATACATTTCTTTTGCAACATAAATTGTACCCAGAATTATTTTTCACTTGGCATGGTACAAGTCCTTAAAGCATGGTATCCAACCTTCTATTATGACCTGGTTTTTCACAAGTCAAAGTTTTAAGTTGGTGGAGGGCCATTATAAGAGCTGTTAACATCTGAAAAAAGGATGAAACCAGAAAACACAAGAAGAATACATACAACAAAACTCACCAGCAAAGTCTTTACCTTCTTCGAAAACAGCTCCATAATCATGTCCTTCTCTTCATGAAAACTAAAGAACTCTTCAATCACCATCATAACCAATGCATCTAGAAGCTTCTTATACCGTGGATCGATATCAGCTGAATGCAAAACCTGAGACATGGATTTCCTTAGATGCTTTACCAATGATCCAGGATTAAATGAATCCGTCTCTTCTTTTGTAACGAAAGCCGCAGCAGGTTCAACAGGTATTGGGGATGATGACGGAGTCATTTCAACAGTCGACATGGATGACAGGGTAGTCGTTTCAGCAATCGACAAGGGTGAAAATGGAGTCACTTCTAGTGAACCAACCGTAATAGATGATGATGGTGAAACAAATTTATTCAAAGACATGATGTAGCTCTGAAACATTCAAAAGTAAATCTAGATTACTACACAACGAGATGTTATAGAAACAAAATACGAGTACACAACAAAAGGTAATTACTAGCCAATGTTATTTTAAGTTGTGTATCACATAGCATTCATGTGATGAACTACTTCAATTTCTTTAAGATACAGTGGCTGTCGAAATGTAAGTTTATAACAACTTTATAGCAGGAAAAATACCTAATCCGAAGAATAAGCAACCATAAATGTTAAGTTTGTATAGTCAACAAGTGTTAAAACAACTGTTTTTGAATTAGATCACCTTCAAAAGCATTAAATTGCAATAGAAAAAGACTGTTTATAAGGAATAATTGCTAATCGCTCATTCTAAGAAGCAAACAATAAATTATACTCTTTAACTTTCCCCTTTCTAACTTAAATGTGCGTGTTTATTTTGCAACTTATCGAATATGGAGTGAGTCAACGTCCCTATCGCTGCACCTGTCGACAACTCTCAAATTCTATTCAATGATGAGAAGTGTAAATTGGATTGACAAGTATACCTCGATGGATTTGCTGGATTGATCTTTGTCAAAAACAAAAGCCTCTGAGATTGGAGAGATTCCAATCGACTCTTCTGGATGTTGATGCACACCGACATTGTCAGAAACCAGAATTTGATTGGAATTTAAGCTCGATTCGCTGATCTGTGCATCAAAAAAATCAAATAACGGATAACAGAAAAGAAATGATACGATCAAATACGCACGATGAGTTTAAAACCAAAACAAGGACATAAGGATTCAAAGTACCTCTACGGTGGACGTGGACTCATCAGCGTCGACAGATTTTGAGATTGACGAGATCTTCTCGATCGACTCCTCCGATACGGCATCGACCTCAGTAATGGGAGTGAAGACAGAACTCAAGTTCTTTTTGATGCTCTGTTATAAAAATTCAATAGAATCCTCCATTTAATACACGCGTCTATACAAAACATGATGATCTGTGATTAAGAACATTGAACATTTGTACTTATTAAGAGATTGTTTGATTTGACCTTTTGTTGCTGCTGCTGATGTAGCTTCTTCGACGGATCATTAATCGGTTTAGCCTTGCGATTGGAGGAAACTGGTAAATGGTCTTTCTTCGGTGTTTGAATATCATGATGATCCTCTCTCATCTTTCTGTCTCTGAAACACGCATAAATGGATGTGCTTCTGGCGCCAAAAGTTCGAGATCTTTCTATTTATATATGTAGACTGTAGTCCAACGGAAAGTGAGGGTCCGATAGTTAGCAACTTAATTAATGCACTCAAGCTTATGTTTCAGTAGGAGCATTTATCTGAATCTTGTGAAAAGGTGAACATTAGTTGGTAAATAAAAAGTCTCCATTTACCATTCAGCATCTTAATTCAGCATATTAATTTCATTGTAAACAATAATCGAATAATTATATTTTATTTTACACTATATCATGAGAGCCTCTTAATCATTTTGATCACTTAAAAGGGTTGTCTGACAGTTGTTGAATGGTTTTGTGCAAAATCATTAAGTGATCAGAATGAGTAAGAGGCTCTCATGATATAGTGCAAAAAGAAATATAATATTTTTGGTAATTGTTTACAATGAAGTTAGGGCTCTTAATGGTTAAGAGAGACCCAAGATACAAAATCATTCAGAGGGTTTTAGAACCATTAAGAGGAAGATTTTTTTTTTTGCCAAACAATATTCATCTCTTAACGATTCAGAGATTGCCTCTTAATGAAACTATTAAGAGATAAACAAACCACCCCTAATCATTCTGCACCAAACCATTCAGCAACTGTCAAACAGCGCCCCTAAGTCAGTCATGACTCTTTTCTTTAACAGTTGTTTAATGATATATAAAATAGTTTATTCAAGAAACTTCTTATATAGTTTTATGTAGATCGTAAACTTTTTACATACACGTCCCTTCTAATTAAAAACACGCTTCTTTAGTTCATTAAAAACTCGTTCAGACAAAAACATTTTATATCTATAAAAGCAAATTAATTCACACAGACTGTTTTACCTATTTAACGAAAAACCAACCAAATATCTCTCGAGTCACAGGTTGGGCCATCAAGTGGTTTCCATTTGGGCTGGTTGTTGGAGCATTTAACTCTTAAATGGCTCGACCTCTTTGGCCCCAGAATATTTGGGGTATTGTCTTGTAGAGATGGCCAAATGGACCCGGCTCGGTCCGTAACCGGGACCGGAGAGGGACCGGTATGGACCGGTTGTGGACCGCCGGTTATGAACCGGTTATGGATTTTAACGTTTTTTAGGACCGAGACCCGTTAAGACCGGAACCGGTTATGTAACCGGTTATAGGACCGGCCCGGCCCGGTCAACAAAAGTCAACGTGTATATATATATATATATATATATATATATATATATATATAACAAAACATATTTTTAAACGTATTTATATAAAACATATTACAAACATATTAAAAATAAATACGTTTAAAAATATATTTTGTTATATATATATATATATATATATATATATATATATGTATATAAATTTATTAATTACCAAAAATTTGAAGAAAAAAAATATTTTTTTTTGCAAAGGACCGGTCGTAACCGGTTATGGGACCGGGACCGGGACCGGACGGCTTAACCGGTTACCGGTAAGCTTGACCGGTTATGGAGGATTTCACCGGAACCGGGACCGGTTATGGAGGGACCGGTTATGGAACATTTTTGTCTTGATCGAGACCGGCCGTAACCGGTTATGGCCCGACCCGGGACCTATTTTTGGCCACCTCTATTGTCTTGTTAATTCATGACTCGCTTATAAAGAAAAAATAACTATAGCTATTAGCTAACACTATAAACCTAATTATGGTTTGTTTACCGACTAACAGGTTACAACTACC